CCTGTGGGGTCTGTGCCACGATCCTCGAGAGAGGTGTGCCGAAATGATGCTTCGGTGGGGCTCCGTGTGAGGTCAAGGCCACGGTCCTCGAGAGGGATGTGCCGAAATAAAGATTCGGTGGAGCTCCCTGTGGGACCAGGGCGACGATCCTCGAGAGGGGTGTGCCGAAATGAAGCTTCGGTGGAGCTCCCTGTGCGGCCAGGGCCGCGATCCTCGAGAGGGGTGTGCCGAAATGACGCGTGGGTGGAGCGCCCGGTGGGGCCAGGGCCACGATCCTCGAGAGGGGTGTGCCGAAATGAAGCTTCGGAGGAGCTCCCTGTGAGGCCAGAGGCCCTATGGGATTCCTATAAGATTCCTAAATATGCCTCCCATCGGGTTCGTAGAAGTTTCCCGCAGGATTCCTATCGGATTCGTACAAGGCCCCTCCTATAAGATTCGCAAAGGCCCTATAGGATTCCAATAGGATTCCTACAGGATTCCTATAGGATGCGTAGAGGCCCTCTAGGATTCCTATAAGATTCCTGTAGGATTCCTAGAGGATGCGTAGAGGCCTTATCGGATTCCGATGGGGGTCCTATAGGATATGTAATGGCCCTCTGCGATTCCTATCTGATTCCTACAAGAGTCCTATAGGGTTCGTAAGAGCCCTATAGGAGTCCTATGAGACTCCTATAGGAATCCTATAATATTCGCAGAGGCCCTATAGGATTCCTACGAGTTTGCTATAGGATTCCTATAGGATTCCTAAAAGCCCTAATAGGACTATTATGGGATTCCCATGGGATTCCTGTAGGGTTCGTAGAGGTCCTACAGGATTCCTATGGGACTCCTATCGGAATCGGAGAAGCCTTTTTCAGATTCGCGTAGGATTCCTGTAGTATTCCAATACGATTCGTAGAGGCCCTATAGGATTCCCATCGGAGTCCTATAAGGGTTCCCATAGGAATCAGGCCCTATAGGATTCCTATGGGATTCCAATTGGATTCCTATAGGATCCGTAGAGGCCCTCTGGATTCCCATAGGAATCCGATCGGATCCTTGAAGGATTCGTAGAGGCCCTATAGGATTCCTCTGGGATCCCTATGGGATTCCTATGGGATGCCTATGGGCTTCGTGAGGACCCTATACGATTCCCAAAGGATTCCTATAAGATCCGTATATGATTCGTAAAGGCCCTATAAGATTCCCAAAGGATTCCTATGGGATTCCCATAGGAATCCGAAAGGCCCTATAGGATTCTTACAGGCTTCCTATCGGATTCCTATCGGATTCGTAAAAGGCCCCATAGGATTCCCATATGATTCCTATGGGGTTCCCATAGGATTCGTAAAGGCCTTATAAGACTCCTATAAGATTCCCATGAGAGGGATTCCTGTGGGATTCCTGTGGGATTCCTGTGGGATTCCTATCGGATTCCTAAAAGGTTCGCGGAGACCCTATAGGATCCCCATCGGAATCCTACAGGATTCGGGGTAACATGCGTTGCGTTGCGTTGCGTTGCGTTACGCCGGGGGGGGGGGGGCGGCGCCAGTGACTGGTTTTGCCAACAACAACAACAACAATCATTTTACCCGAACGCTCAGTGTTCTCACCAGTGCCAGGGTTTTCATACGACGCCCGCCAATACCCCCACTTTGTGGGGGGGCCGGTTCAAGCTCTACCACATTTCCAAACGACTCTTCGCCACCACCCACACCCAGCTTCCCGCCCTATGACGTTCGGACACTTCACTTCGTGGCATGCGGACGACCGTGGCTACTACACTGGCGCATGGTTTCAATGACTTCTTGTGGTAACATCTTGTGGAAACTAGCTTAGTATACGACGACGACGATTTGAAGGGCCTACGGTGCGAAAAATGATTTTATGTTGCGCGGTGCTAAAATTCCTACGAAACCCAATGGTTTTTGAAGATTTCGGCGTGCGCACGGAAAGAAAAAACGAATGTGTCCCGCATGGTATTATTTGACAGGGATGATGGCCCTGGCAGGTGCGCAACCGTTGTTGGAGAAGTTCGAAGCACGTGAAGAAGTTGATCGCAAAAGCCCGTTTGACAGAAATGTTTAAAAAAGTTGGGTTTCCTGCAAATCCGCAAGAGCGCGCGGGATGAAATTGTGACACTTTTTTTTTAAACAAAAAAAACCATTGGTTTTTTGATGTTTTTATGTTGAAATCGCTACGAACACTAAGGTTTTGGAAGGATTTCGTCTTGCGCGCGCGAATGTCCACTTTACCTTATTTTTTGCAAGGGATTCTTGAAGTTTGGTTATTTTAGAACAAGAAATTTCATTTTATAGTGTTTTTTGCAAGGGACAGCGGGGGGGAACAAAACAACCGGATCTTGATGACATCGTATTACCTGAGGCTTCCTCACGAAAATGATGAAAATGTAGCTGCGGCCTAGGCGCGGCGGGGGGGTCGCGCACCAGGGGTCCCAACAATAATTATTCTTTAGAATAAATAATGTTCAACAACAACAACAACAACAACAACAACAACAACAACAACAACAACAACAACAACAACAACAACAATTACTAGCACGTGGGGACACTCCGTTCTCACCAGTGCCAGGGTTTTCATAGGAGGCGGGCAATACCCCCACTTTGTGGGGGGGCCGGTTCAAGCTCTACCAAATTTCCAAACGACTCTTCGCCACCACCCACACCCAGCTTCCCGCCCTATGACGTTCGGACACTTCACTTCGTGGCCTGCGGACGACCGTGGCTACTACACTGGCGCGTGGCTACTACACTGGCGGATTGTGGCCCCTGGCAGGCGCGCGAACGCCGTTGAAAGAGCTTGCGAAAGTAGCTCGCGCGAGCTCATGTAACATAAATGTTGAAAAACCATTGGTTTTTAAGGATT